GCCTGCCTCATTTACCTTATCTCTAGTTTTCTTCATATATTGTTGTCTTATTACTTTTGCGTTGCGCATCCCTTGGTGCCTATATTGTACCAAATGTTTCTAATAATAAAGTCTTGGTCATAATGAATAAGTTTACCGCTAGTTAGGCCAGAGTTTCTCACAAACGTTCATTAATTTAAAATCTACAGTAACAATTCTGCGGTTTCCTCCTGGATTTCCCAAATAATCATCAATTTATTTTAACACAAACTTCATTCAACGTGAGGACTAAGGGGCGTGCCACATCTACTTTCTACTGCCTCATTTACACTTCTTGCTGATCAGGTAGTTCAACTTTTAGACTATTTACCTAAACACTTTACTAATTCAAAGGTGAGTGATGCAAGGGAAACGGCCCATATATCACAGGATGCTGCTTTAGGGTTCATTCATAAAGGAGTTACAGTTCTGTTCAGGATCTCATGGTAGAATTTACCAGCTGATTATATTATCCTTTAGTTTATACATGTCGAGTCATCAGTGTTAGAAGGAAAATGGGAATCGGTTTACAGTCTAAGCATATTCGAATATGACAACACTCCAGAAAATATTACAGATTAGTATACTAGATTATAAAATAAACCAGTTGCTGATATTCAGTATGTTAGGTGATTCGAATGTGTACAACTGTACTTGGATTAGGATTCAAATCTATTCCAATAGTTCAACAAAATGTGGTTACCCCTACCTCAACCAAGAAAGTACATATCACTAATCAAGGCAATCTAGTCGAACTCACGCAGCCAGGTAAGAGCTTATGGAGATTTGTCACCTGAAGTGATGACAACCAGTAGTGACCGTCAGGGATGCCCACTATCCCATTTGTTTAATTTCATCACAGATGTGCTAACAGAATTGACCCTAACTGACTTCAACGACTTAAGGATTGGCTTGTTATCAGGGTATAGTCTCGTCGACTCAAAATACACGGATGATATAGTCCTCCTAAGTGAAGACGCTGATAAAATACAGTCTTCTGAACACCTTCAGGGGAAATCTTACAATGTTTAGCGTAAGATTAGTGCCTGTCAAATATAAAATGATGCTACAACACTGAAATACACCGACTCCAAGATGCGGAGTGAAGTGATAAAACTACGTCATGTGTTACGCATGCCCAGTCATCGCATTCCTCGACAAGCAATGTTAGCTGACATAGGATCAAGCTTGAAAAGAGCTAATGGGGGTCAAACCAAAACTTGGGATCAGTTCATGAAATCCTAGACAGTTAGTCTAAGCCACGTAGGGAGAATTTAGGCTTCCTGATTGGGGTCCTAGAGATGCTAAGAACCAACGGCTGGAAACAACTGGTAACATAATTCAAAGTAGTTCCCAACAGTGTAAATGTATTCACCTTTTGTGATCTGCCATCTCCACTAATTCCTGTTGTTCTACCATGTTACTACTATTCCTTCTCCCTCATATTTCCGCTCTTTATTGTCCATTTGAATCTCTCCTTACTCTCTTCTCTTGTTTTTTGTGCTGCATTGAGGGTGGCAACTCGAATTGCTGAACTTCTGTGCAAAGTTCTACATTGAAACGAGTCAGTCAGTTACCTCTGTAAACACTTCAATATTGCTGTCACATGCTGGTTAATGATACGACTTGAAACTGATTAGAAATTTTAGTCTTTACACACAGTTCTACCTACATCAAATAATATATACGATGTCGGAAAAAGAGAAACGATAAACCATAAAAATAGGATATCTCCCGCTTACATTAGCTTATGCTGACATATGTAGCATAACAAGTGTTAACTTGATGCAAGAAAAACAGCACATCACCATTAAAGATGAATAGATGGAAACAGTCCAAATTTTCTGCGCACTCAACACACACGCACACACACACACACACACAAGTGAACGAAACATTCTAACTCATTGATTACTTTATTCATATATTGTGAAATGATGCTGGTGTTACGGTACAGAACAAATAAATGACGAAATACAAATGAAGAGAGAAAAACAAATCTCTTACTTATCATGTATGCACAAATGAAATAAGCACTGAGAGATTAGGAAAGACAAAAACAAAAAAGCATACACTTCGTCAAGGGTAAATCAAATCAAAAAGAAAGTTGAGATACACACACACGCTAAACAAAGACAAAAAAGCTTTCCTTTATGAGAGATATTTCATTAAGATGTACACATTAAAGGAATATAGAATACTGCAGCTATCATTCAATCAGTCAATCGATCAATAAAACGGTAGAGGCAATAGATAATAAAGAAAGACATTCACAAAGTATAAGCTCAGCTTGGAATGAAAGTGTGCAAAAACAAAAAAACAAAACAAAAAAGGTAGGTGGTGGGTAGTTGAAGATGGCGAATGCACACACACATACACACAGGCACAAATACACACAAATTGTATAGACATGCAAAGAATGAATAAAATGGATATTAAAAGTTTTATTCTGTGATATTATATACGGCAGAATCCAGGAGGCATGACGTTATACATATATTAAATATCCAGAAATAATTCATTCATTAATGATGATTAATATTATTCATTTTTTCCCATGAGTTCTTGAGATACAACTTCAGTGGCCTTCTTTTTAGCTGAAATGTAAAATAGTATGCGCTCCGTATTAACACAGAAAATAAGAAATTAGAAAAAAATTTATGGACAAGGGTAACAAACAAGCCAATCAGACAAGATGAACTGATAATCATCAACCCAGCATAGAAGCAATCCCATTGTATACACAGTAATGACATATCACACTGACAAGAAATTTGGAGATAAAAATCCATAACCCTTAGCAACTATTAGGATTGAAGTATAGAGATCTAATTTTTCTTCTTTCAAATAACTCGTCTTCAGATCACAAATATACAGACACAACTGGAGATAGGTGTAAAGAGAAGTCTGGATCTTAACCCCCCCCCCTTTGGTATCAACTACTTACAAATAATAGTCACTGCATGGTTGTCAGTCCTGACATTTTAAGGTTAACCAAGATGTCTTATTTGTTATTTTACTCATGCTTGGCAGTCATTAAAATAGTTTCTATGATAGTATTCCTGACTTTTGAAATTTTGAAATGCAATGATAGTTTTTTTCTACATAAATTCACCATTCACACACAAAGTGAAGGGTGTGAACAACACATAAGCAATTAAGTTATGGCAATACAACCAGTGTTCATGTGCTTTCTTTTTATGATAATACGATCAACTTATACAACAACAAATCTTGAACCTTGAAATTTCGCCTATTGTATTAGATAACACAAATGAACAATGATATTGCATAACGTGCACACTTCATAAAAGTTCACCGTACTCAGATGCTACACTTATACAAAAGCATAGAAATGGGGAAAACAAGTTAAATAATAATGAAGTAAATCGAATAGTATAAGACTGCCACTAACTGTGAACCCCTTTAATACTCAATGATCACTAATATATCCAGGAATCCAAAACGTGGCCAACTCCCCTTAACCATCTACACTAACAGACTTCATGGAGTGATAACACATCACTTTTTCTACACTTAATTACGATGACTGAATTCTAATAATCAAGTTTTCAATATGGTCAGGAAGCCAGTGGACTAACTAATGGGTTGCAAAATGTTTAGTCACTGTATTTTGCTCATCAAAGCCATCTTTCTTCTAATTCCCCTGATTATCACCATTATTGTCGGTTATCACACACGACATATGGTTCTGCTGTCTAATTGCTAGAGGCGATTTAAACCACTAAGCACTAGTGCAACATCCACTGTTAAAAAGCATCTCCCTGTCTTGTTTCTGCTACAAGACATACACGTCTTCATACTGTCATGTAATAGCAGAATTAAGCACATTTTACTTTCAGGTTTCATCGTAAGCTCACATCAGTTAGAGAACCATTGGAAAACCAAGGAGTACAGGACAGCTGTTTCGTCCTAGTTTGGTACCCTTTCGCAGTACGCACCAACACTTGATAATGTTTGACTTCACCGAATTACAATAAATAAGACAAAAAGAAATGATAACGCAAATAAAATGATCAATTTCTACATAATGATCAAACAGGAATGAGACTGCACCACATTACCTAGTCTACAGCCTAACATACATCGAAGATGGGGAATGTATATGCAGATACATAAACTGAAAATCCACAGAAATCATGAACTATCTTGACATTTTCTAAGCACAAGTTTGCATTTCTCAATATGATATGCTAGCATCAGCTAATCCGATGTCTTATTGCAATCAAACTTACTACTTTATCACTATTGTAGGCACTATAAAATTAAAGAGTGGGTGTGGTACACACAAATCATAATCCAGTCAGATCAATCGCTGCAGGTTCACAGCCTCATACACGGATGCACAGACACTCACTAAATCTTATGTTAGTACTTAATATTGTTTATCTGGGTATTTCCAACACCATGCAAAATGTTGAGGTTGTAACGCAGATTTGGCAGCCACCAAATTTTAAAATAGTGGTCACAAACCTTCAAAGTCCGAGGACATAAATTCAACCGAACTGATCACACAAGCCTGTAATACAACTTGGTGAAAATCTAGGAAAGATTTGCATATGAAGTAAACACTAGTTTTGACCAAATCCATCAAATAATTGTTGAGGTTAGCTGCTTATTTTCAGTTTATTTATACAGCTATCTCCAGACAGAAAAGCTTAAAAAATTCTTGGGATAAGATAAATCAGTCAATCAAGATGTACATAGACCTTTTTTAATCATACGACAGTCACATGAAGTGGTTGCCTGCAGAATCCTGATCACCAGCATACAACGTTAATTCAAGTCTAAGTGACCTTAATAAATACCTAACCGTGAACCAATAAGCGTCGTGGTACTTTCCTATCAAAAGGAGGTACACGCTGGCGATCAAAGCGCAGACATATGCAGTTGTTGTATCTTGATTTTAACTGAGAGCTTGCAGGAGCTAGTCGTATATGCTGTACTACATCAATCATTCGTCTTAGTAATTTGCATACTACAGATCTATATATTGTTGATAAATATGCTTACTTAAACCAACAGTGCTGTATGTTTGCATTTATAACAAGATTATCAATAACCGTAAGGCAGCGTACTGCTAAACCTCGCTCAGCCAGCAATAAGGCGTGTAAATAGGAAAGTTTGAGCGTGAGACTAGTAACTCTACTCCGTAAAAAGACACAAATGCTTCTAGAACTCCAAAGCTTAAGCCTGAAACCCTTTGCTCCACTGGAAATGCAAGGGAATAAAGAATAAGGCAACATAGTGAGTGCATTAGAATGTAACTCCTTGAGTGAATTCTAACATATGTATATATTTTATAGTATAGAAAACTATAATATTCCAGAAACATAAGGAGCAGAATATCTGACATTCTTAAATATTTTCATCCTTTATACTCGCACAGGTTGGAATAATAGCAGTGTTAAACTGACATTTGAACAGAGTAACAGAAATACTCTTATTACTGCTATCACTGTTGTTGCTTATTAATCTATGACCCTAAAAAACCCAGACTAATGGGTTTGCTACAGAACAGCAAGGTATACAAGAGTGATAGAAAAGTTCTGTGGATGAAGTGAACACTGAAGCCTTGAAAAATGCCCATTTGAATGAAAACAATAAAAGTGGGGAACATTTCGAAAAACTGTGTGGAAACAAACTAAAGAAACCTAATACAAAGGGAATTGGGGATTTTACACACAAAAAGGTAGCAGTTAGACTTGGTGTTTTACAATATAACGTGGCTAAAACAAACGTTATTTAGCCTGAGTAGGCGTCTATGGAAAATAATGTTTATTTCAAACACTTCCACTTTCATTCAAATACTTCCTTTCTACGGCCTTTCTTGTCTATCAATGACAGACGAAGTAAGCCAAGGTCGTAAAATAGTTAGGGATAGTCAGGCAAAAATTTGGAATTAATATGAAGTTATCGGGTACTATTTTGAGTAGCCTGCTGAGGTAAAAACTACTAAAGTCGAGTCCTCAGCAGCAGTAAGTCAAGTAAATTTACTTCAAGCAAGAAACGTAATAAAAAGTAACTTAGGGTATCCTTGAGGGACACCAGCTTTTATCCCTTCACGTGGCGATTCTCCGTAGGCCCCATGAGGGCTCTGGTTAGCGTATACTTTTACACAACTTCAGTAATATTCAGATAATGCCCCCTCGACCAATGGGGCTGAATAGCACCTTCTGGTCAGTACATATGGTAAGTGCAGGATATCAATACAACTATGTAATTATCCCAGTATGTCCCCCTATTATAAAGTGAGATAACGAAAATCCGATTGCCTGTAATGGATTCATTTCATCTAACTTTAATGAACTTAGTTGATGTTCCCTCATAACTTCGCGACGGCCTATTTTTAATGTGTTTTTTTTTATTTTGATTACAGCTTGATTCCACACCGTATTTTCAGTACAAGTATGGAATTTTCAGCGTGGATATCGGTAGCCCAAATTTCAGGCCGACCATAGATATCGGGTGTGCGCCGGCAGGGGATCGAACCCCGGACCATGTGCATGGTCGTCGAGAGTCCTAACCACTGTGCCACCGACGCAGAAGTTGATGCACCCGGCATTAATTCGTGTATAACCTTTGCGTTAAACAAAAACCAAGATATTTCTATGCGACATTTAAGGCAAATCATCACTGGACTACAGTATTATGTGAGTGACAATAAAGACAATTTGCAACAATCTATATCTCATTTGGCATGACATCGGAATTAAAGTTTGCAAACCACTTATTAGTTGACTTACCAGCATTTCCAAAATCACCAGCTAAATCAGCAGCCTCGCTGATAATCTTGTCAATATTCTTTTCGTGTGCCAAAATATGGGGTCGGATAATTTTCTGATAGATAAGTATCGACCCATTTGGTGAGGTTGGGATCATCATGAATAAGAAGAATGTACACTAAGAGAATAATGAATATCAGAACGATTTCAAACCTTCAGCAATGAGTACAGCGGCACCCAATAAAAGAATATATCAGTGAATGATTCAACAACACTGAATGCTGCAAACACAACCCAGTACGTCAGCCACTTGGTGTCATCTGCTTTGTCAGCTGTCTCAAGAGCTTTAATGCTGAGGGAAAAGTGTAATCATCAAGCGAAACCTACGATCTATATGCAGGATATATAAATCCAATTAGATTGGCAAGAAAGCTGGTTCCATAACCGAAAATTAGATAAAGGAATATCACACAAACACCCCCTGAAACATTTTATTAGTAAAACACCTCACTTACCAAGAACAATGTACAAGCGATCAACATTAGTCTTTTTTTCTACTTTCTCCAAGAGATCAGTAAACCAGTTCTTTTGGCGCAATGAATCCTCAAGGATTTTACGAGTACCCGCCAACTTGTCCATGTTTACCTTGTTCAAATATCCGGGAAATTATGAGAGTGACATTGACGAGAATAAATCAAATGAAACATTAAAACCTGAAACTTCATAACAACATAAGCTCTTGTATATAATTTTGCCATCTGTTTAAGGTTTTTATTCCTTGGTAGTTGTGTTAATTTTATAGTATTTATGATTAAATCCCACTACCCATTGGGTGTGGGGTATTATAAATGAAATGCAACTTTATATGTGTAGTTTTAATGTAGCGCAGCACACAATTCTTTCAGTCTCCTGATGGATGGTTACGGAAGGCTGTGAAATGCAGCATACGAAGATTCAGCTATTCGTTCGATCACGAGGATCACATACGATCAATCAGTCTCCGTACTGATAGTGTTAGGTCTATGAGTTGTACCTATCAAGACTTCACACTTATATTCCACTAGCAGTTCACAACTACACTGGATAAGCGATGAAATATCTCTGAGGATGAATGACCCATCATGAACGTTATGATAACCAAAATCAAAAGTTGTATCCTTTAAACTGCGGGCTAAACCTATTACTTCCTTTGTGTCATAGTGCTGAATTAGGATGTGAGGAGTAAAACGCCCATCGCTTCACTTGCAGTGACCAGAAGTATTTCTTCACCTTCCCTCCTTGTTTTACTTAGAGCAGATGGCCCTTTTACAGTTTGCTAGTGAATACAGCCGACAAAACACTTCTTCGTGTAAGAATCGGCTCTTCATTGTCTAGGTCAATTGGATGGACCTGAAGTATATTGCTGATTGAAAAATTTGAAGCTGTACTTATTTCGATCACTACTGCCTACCGAATGACCGAAAATAGGATAGGAAATTTTACTTTATTATTTTAGAGCATTTGAAGAGTGAGGAAAATGTTTCCAGCCTTAGCTGTTATTTACTTCCTTCATTTAGCATACACGCATTTTATAAGCATTTTACAGCTGGCGATTGCAACAGAAGTTACATCACTGGGTTTAAGAATATACTGCTTTCTTAACTGTGCAGCGATTTCTGAAAGCCATTCAAAACTTCATAGTAGTTTCACCATAAATTCACCTCATTCTGGAACAAAACTAATCTATTCCACGAGAATAGCTACTGCCGAGACATTTATGATACTAATGACTCTGTAGCAGAAGGTAATTCCCCAGAATCATTATTCATAGCATTCATCAGTGAAAATTGGATGCTGACCCTCAATGTTCAAGTCGATTTGTTCATCTTGAGAATTACGGTCAAGCATACACGCCATTCTGGCACCCCATTGTGTTAAGTTCGTTCGTTCGAGCACGATCCCTAGTTAAGCAGTCATCCTCGCACTTCAATTTGATCCCGAAATATAGTTCGTAATTTAGATGATCAATTCTGGTGTTTTGCTTAGCCTTTGGTCTATACAGAACGAATACTACAGAAGTTGTGGGTGTAAGATCTTGCATTAGTATAAATCGTACTATCCGTGAAGGTTAATACTCTCAGCCTCCAAAACTCTATACTCAGGAAACACGTTAAGCATGTTTGGATCCCCAGCTGTCGGGAAAATTATTTCAATACAATCTATAGATTTTTCGACAAAACAGATTCAAAACAAATTGCCATTAGCATTTGCTTCTGTTTGTTGAATTTACGCATCCATTTCCTGAATATCAAATTCTTTACTTTAATCTACTTTGTGATATAATTAAGTTCACTAATACTCCAGATGCACACAATGGTTACACAATCAATGCATTTGCAACCTTCGCACATAGATGATATAGTGGATACGTCGGTGGCAAAGCGATTATGACTGTCGCCAGTCATGCGAATGGTCTGGGATTCAATTCCCTGCTGACGCACACCTGATATCAATGGTCTGTCTGCAAAATTTTGGCTACCGATATCACATGCTGAAAATTCGATACTTGCATCAAAAAATACGGTGCGTAATCAAGCTGGAATCGAAAATATAAAAAATACTACTTTTGGATAATGCGAAAATTTTGCACGAATTATGGAGAAACTAATTTGTAAACTCTCCTTTTCGCCTTTTCACACTGATGCTGTTGGATTCGTTGATACATATCAAATCGAATAAGTGTCTGACTTTAAACACATGGTTTTTAAGCGGTGATACTCAGGATATCAAAGGATCTATCCCGACACAAAATGGACATACTGTACTTCAAGGTGAAACTCTGAAACTTAGTATCTTTCTTGCAAGCTAGCTCAAATCACGCTGATTGCTTTGATTTTGCTCTCGCAGAGTAGTAACTGTTCTCAAACTCCCGTGGGTTTCGGAATAATTTGTCCCACCTTATCACCTGGTAGATTCTAAGGGAAATCATATGGGAAATCTGTCATTTCATTCGTAGTGTTCTATATGTTAAGGTGGTGGCACTGCTCTGATCGGCATTAGCCCGCTTGGCTATTATTCGTTATGTAGGGTCGAAAAACAAAATAATAATACTAACGATGGTAATAATCATCGTAAAATTAGTGGGTATTACGTAAATCTGAAAGTGATGGTTGAACGAATAAATAGATGATACAGCTGACAATAAGTAAATGAATGAACCTACAGGGTAGACCGAAGAGTGCGACAAAAAAGACTGTGCGTTTTCCAAAGATTAGTATAGTGAGGAGCCCATTAATAAAAAGCAGCAAATGATGTTCACGAACAATTTATGAAGACTACGGCCAAATGCATTTAACCAGGGGATGATAGGTCACCACATGATAATCACATAACTTACAATATGTTCTGCAGGATTGCTTGAGAAAAACCAGACGCTTTATCTAAACTTTATTTACAAACTCACTCAGAGACAAGCTCTGTAGGCTAAAGGACCCGGAGGTCCCAATCAAACAAAGTAATATAATTTACAAAATATCATGCAATGACTGTCAAGTCAACCCCATAGGTCAGACTAGTAGATCACGAGTAGTGAAATTATCAGAACATAAGAATTTAGCTAAGGTTAGAATGATTGATCGCACGAAGATAAGTAATTTAGAAAAAAACTCAGCAAATGCACTGCATGCATTAACACAAAACCATACAATAGGGTGGGAGAGGGTCAAAACTCTAAAAAGTTATATAGGTAGATGGAGAGAGGGATTGACTACTGAATCCTGTCTGGTTCATCGAATCTACACCCAACACATGCAATGGAAGTGACTCAATGCAAATACCAGAGACATGCAAGATATTATTACCAGTCAAATCAGAGGATGATGAATAATGCTAAAATGTATTCAATTCACATTATAACACTCTAACAAGTTATGTATTTTACTAAAAAGCATCTTATTTCCGATCTGATTGTACTTGATTGATAATACTAATATTATTTCTGAATGTACTTGATCTTCAATTGATTTTCTTCAAATATCTAATCAATTTCCTCATGTATATAAGTGAAGCAAGGAAGTTGTGTGAGTGCCTTGAAATGATTACGAGCAGTAATAATTTGTGCCCGAAATGTCATCAGTTAATATTACTGCATAACACTAAGTGATTTATCAAAATGAAATCTTATCCATAGTGAAGTAATACTCTACCAAAGTGCCCAAGTTTTCTACTCATATCAAAGCAGTACCTCACAGAAGCCAATTTCTGGTCATATATGATAATACAGTTTGAATCTGTGGCTACTGAGATAGCCTACGGACACCGTAACCGATGTCAGTGGGTAGTTTTGTATGTATCTTAGTTGGAAGTGAGGCAAGCAAATTATTTACCTCACCGCAAGGACACTGGGTTTTATTTTAACAGGATATTGTTTTGCCGAATGCTACCGCGATCACTGGTTTGTGTGGATCAACCGGTAAGAATGCATGGTGGAATCCGAGTGGTCAGACATCCAGGCTGGATTTCCTTTTCACAAGCGACCACTTGATTATGAAGAGTATGCAGTTAGAGCAATGAGTAGGTAGCAGCAGCCACGGGTTCGGACATTATGACCTATTCGTTCTAGAAAATTAAATCTCCGGTTCAGCACTGTTATGGTGAAGTTGGCTTTGAGCTAGTGAGAGAAGCCTCTGGCCACAAGGCTATCACCGGGTAATGGTGGACTAACAGTGAACGGTTGCTTGCTTTAAGTCTGGTTGCTTTGATTAAAAAGGCAACAACACCAATGTTTGAACAAAGCTATATCTTCACCGGAAACGTGATAGTTTCCATGCTCAGACCAATATGGTTAGCATTAAACATCGCAAATGTATATTACCATTTCAGGTACTATATAGCTTCTTCTTCTTCTTGTATTTATCTTGTAAATATACTTTCAATAATGTATTATTCATAATTGCATTTTATACCATTTTGCAGCTGCGCAGAATTTTCTTCTCTTCCTGAAATAGCGCTCAGTCACGTGGCGGTATAGAACTAACTCAGATATACTCTCTTCACTGTTAACCATAAGCATCAGCAGGAAACATAACGAAGTTCGGGTTGTCGCTCAACTTTGATGGTGACCTTGGTGAAGTGTTTACAATTTAACATTAATAGGAACCTGTTCTGATTGCTTGTACAATAATTGAACAATTCAAACTTTTTAAAGAAGTGTGGTGGACCTTTTGCTCTGTTAGCTTATTTACCCAAAATTCAAATAGAAAACAAAATACCAAATCAATTGAGTTTACAAAGATCCAAATTCCACAAGAAACGTACTGGATTCCAGAAGTGCTGCGGGAAGACTGCTCCAGTTCTAATTCTCCAGTGTTGACGTTGCCGGAGGTCGACCAAAGTGCGTAGGAAGAGGCTACGGTGCTCCTGCAAAAATTCGAGATAGAAAGCAGGTTGTTATAATTGATCGACGGCAGTTGAGATGGTTGAGAAGACGGAGAGTCGAAGGCAGAATTATGTATATTTTTTAAAACTCGAGGGATGTTCAAAGTACAGAGTTTTTGGTTAAAACAAAGTAGTGTACAATATGTTCATTTTTTACATAATAGTAAAATTTGGATAAGTTTATTTTTGAGGACTCCACAGGGCTCCCCCTCTTAGAGTGCCGGAAGACCATCAGTACTGTCCTCGTTGACGATTACATGGATATAAGCAATATAAATAATGGGTAATGTCAACAATAAGGGTAACAAAAAAAAATAACATCAACAACAATAAGGATACAAAATTAGATCAGGGCGTACGGAATGCATCCGTGTTGTATAAAGTTTAGCACATGCAAGCAGGAATTTAGAAGAAAAAAATATCAAAACTTGCTATAATTTAAAAGAAGAAATTTATGTACATAATAAACCATGAAATGTTCGTTAGCATTTGCAAAATTCATATGTAAATAGATATATACAAATACTTGGTGAATGCGTGTGCTTGCAGCACAGTTAACGAACAGTAAACAATAATACTAGTAAATATTTATGGTTATAATGAAATGAATGTCGACAACAATAATAATAAGTATGTCTAAATGAGGTTACGTACTTTTTTTGATGTCAGTCAACAAAATGAACATAGCGGGCAGGTTTACAGATCTGCCGTCCACTGCGTGTCTGTACAGGGGGAAGTGTGAAGAGAGGGAGAGTTGGAGTTGCATTGACTTTCTGATTGTTTACTGGTGCCGGCGTTGCTAGTGTTTCATATTCGCTGTCGGCGTACGCTGGTTTAAGACGATCGATAGAAACAGTCTCCGGTTTACCATGTTTATTCAGCGTGAAGTATTTATCTGTGCGTTTAAGTACTAGAAAAGGACCTTCATATGGATGTTGCAAACCTTTTCTAATGGCGTCGACGCGAACAAATACAGATCTGCAAGTGAGTAGATTCCTATTAACTTGAGCTTTCTGAAGTGATTGGCGAGGGGCTACTGGTCGAAGCCGGAGCATTTGCTGGGTAAGGCGGTTGGTGAAGTCGGAGATATTTACTTCAGTTGAATCATTAGACGAAACTAACTGACCAGGCAACGTG